ACACAATGTTACTACAACATTCTGTTTCTTTATATTTCTCTCAACATGCCCTCTCCTGGTTATTTGGTTCATTTTCATAACTTGGATCACCAAGTGTTTGCTGATGACTTCTTCTGGGCAAAAGGCTCCTATTTTTACAGAATTTTGGACTGCCAAGGCCCCATCCCACACTAATTTCTCTTGCCACAAATTCATTTATTAGCTCACTAGTTTGTTGTTGTTGTTGGTCTGGGGATTTAACCCAGGGSAACTTTACTACAGAGGTACATTCCCAGCCCTTTTTTAKTTTTTATTTTTTTGAGGGGGGGCAGGGGTGTTACCAGGGATTGAACTCAGGAGATTCAACCACTGAGCCACATCCCCAGCCCTATTTTATATTTCAYTTAGAGAAAGGGTCTCACTGAGTTGCTTAGCGCCTCACTTTTGCTGAGGTTTTGAACTCATGATCCTCCTGTCTCAGCCTCCCGAGCCATTGGGATTACAGGCATGCGTCACCATACCCCGCCTTTATTTTTTGAGACAGGGTTTCACTACATTGCTGAGGACCTGAGTTGCTGAGCCTGGTCTCAAACTAATGATCCTTCTATCTTACCCTCCTGGGTTGCTGGAATTACAGGTATGTCTCACAACACCCAGATGGCTAACTAGTTTTACTGAGCTAAGCACAAAGAATATGTGTATGTATGTGTGTTTGTGTGTGTGTTGTTGTTGTTGTTCTTATGTTGCTGGGAAATGAACCCAGAGGTGCTCTACCTCTGAGCTAYATCCCTGGCACATTTTTAAATTTTTATTTAATTTTGAGTGAACCCAGGGACACTCAATCAGTAAGTCGCATTCAGCCCTTTTTTGTATTTTGTTTAGACACGGTCTTACTGAGTTGCTGAGGGCCTTACTAAATTGCTTTGAACTCACAATCCCTCTACCTCAGCCACTGGGTTTACAGGTGAGTGCCACTGCACTGGTCTTTTTTTTTTTTTTTTTTTTTTTTTGAGATAGGGTCTCATTAAGTTGCAGAGACTGGCATCAAAACTGTGATACTCCAGCCTCAGCTTCAACCTCCCAAGTCATTGGGATTACTGGCACACGTAGCGCAAAGCTAAGAATGTATGATTTCTACTAGGACCAAAACAATACTAGATACAAAGATGAACCAAGACAAGGAAATAAAGGTTTCAAGGACAGCTAGGATGTGGCTCACTGGTACCATGCTTGCATGAGGCCCTCAGTTCAATTCACAGCACTGAAAAAAAGGAATTTTTTTCAAGGAAATAATAATAATAGGGCATGGGGTGCCTTTTCAGACTGTTCACTGGCAATACCCCAACTAGGACTGAGACGCATTCTGAGAAGCAATCTTTAAAACCTCAGTGGCAGAGCACTTGCCTAGCACTCATAAAGCCCTGGGTTTGATCCTCAGCATGACCAAAAAAAAAATTTTTTTTAAACACAAAAACCCCACTACTATGTTTATCATTGGAATTGTTTCCCCACAAAATCAGTGTCCCCAGTATGAAGACCCCTAAGAAGAATGTGTCTCAGGTTTAACAGTCAAACAAAAAAGTTGTGGGGCTGGGGCTGTTGCTCAGTGGTAGAGTGCTTGCCTAGCATGTGTGAGGTACTGGGTTCAATCCTTAACACCATATAAAAACAAATAAAATAAAGGCACATTAACAATTAAAAATATATGTGTGTGTGTGTGTGTGTGTGAAACACACACGTATACACATTTTTTTTTAAGTTGTGCCAGGCACAGTGATACATGCCTGTAATCCCAGCAGCTCAGGAGGCTGACATGAGGATCACAAGTTCAAAGACAAACCTCAGCAAAAAGGGAGGCACCAAGCATTTCAGTGAGACYCTGTCTTTAAATTAAATACAAAATAGGGCTGAGGATGTAWCTCAGTGGTCAAGTGCCCCTGAGTTCAATCCCCCGAACTCACCCCCCRGAAAAGTTGTGCTTCTTTTGAATATACATTTGATTTTATAGACACCATGAATCTGAAAAATGAGCTTTATTTAATTCTTCCCTTTGCTCCAGGAAATTCAGAGGTAGATAATGGAATCTACATTTGGTAATTGTAGAGTACTTTCTGACATGTATACTAATTTTGCCTCTGCTTTAATTTTATYCTTCTCTCATTTCTTCTTTGTTGTAATCTATTTGTAATCCTCTAGAATGTACAGATTTTAAAGAGAGGTGAGAAAAGGTATTTGAAACTGAGCATGGTGGTACATACCTATAGTCCTAGCTACTCAGGAGGCTGAGATGGGATGACTGAAGTTTGAGGCCAGCCGGGCAAACTTAGAAAGACCCTGTCTCAAAATAAAAAAGGACTGGGGGTATAGTTCAGTGATATACTGCCTGCCTCACACATATAAGGCCCTAGGTCCAATCCCCAGTATTACAAAAAAAAAAAAAAAAAAAAAGAGAGAGAGAGAGAGAAAGGGAGGGAAAGGAAAATTGTATTTGAAATGTGCTTTATTTCTAGACAGGGGTCTTGCTGTATTGATCAGCAGGCCTGGAATTTGAATTCCTTCTGAGTATCTGGGATCCATGGTGTTTGGCTTGATCATTGCTTTTCAACACAAAATTTATTGTGTATAGAAATTTCTATGTGCTAGGCACTATTCTAGACACTTTACAATCCTAGAAGGGTTGAACTATTATTATTTCCACTATATAGCTGAGGAACCTGAGAATCAGAGGGTTTACAACTTACATATGATTACAACTTGTACTTGACAGGTGGATTCAAATTCATGTGTAATGGCAAGACCATTACAAATAAGTGTACTTACAGGATATCACTGGAGGGAATTAAGAGCAGAGAAAGGAAAGGGAGAGAATGGGGAAAGCCCTCATTGAGGAAGTGATGTGTGAGCCAAGTACTAAAGGAAAGAGCTTATCAAAGAGTAAGGAGAAACTATTCCACAAAGAAAGCAGTCATGTACAAATACCCAAAGCAGAGAGAACATAAGTTCTGGAAAAAGCACACAGAACCTGCATTCAGCAATTCATTCATCTTAAGGGTTCATCAGAAAGTAAAAGCATTTAAGAGTAGATAGCTAATATATTCATTACCGAGAATTTCTATGGCCTCAGTAACCTATGGCTAGAAAGGTAGGTGGAAGTAAAATAAAGTCAGCCCTTTAATAAAGCTAAAATTATGTTCAGTAATTTATTATAATTAGGCTAAAATTAAGTCTGAATTATGTTCAATAGCAATAGGGAACCTCAGAAGATACCAAAGAATGAGAAATACATGACTGACTTATACAGAATAGTGAATAAATTACTGATTGAAAGGTACGGAAACCAGATAGAAAGCTACTATAAGAGGCTGGCAGTGGGGTTAAACCAGGCCTGTCCAAAAGAAATACAATGCAAACCATATGTGCAAATTTTTTTTTTTTATTTCCTAGTGGCTGCCATGAGAAAAAGTAAAAAGAAATAAGTGGAAATTATTTCATTGATATTACAATTTATTGAATCTGATATACCTAAATATTATGTCTCAAATTTGGACTCAGAAATTTTACTTTTATTTTGGGGGGGTTACAAACTTGAAATCTAGTATATATTTTATATTTATCTCATTTTGGACACTAAATTTTCTTTTTTTCCTGCTGTACCCCCCTCCACCTCATACTGGGGATTGAACCCAGGGCCTCATGCTAGGAAGTGTTCTGCCACTGAACTATATACCCATCCTTTTTTATTTGAGCACTATCTTACTAAGCAGCCCAAGCTGGCCTTGAACTTTCAATCGTCCTGTCTCAGCCTTCCCGGTAGCTGTGATCAGATGCRTGTGCCACTGCGTCTGGCTCAGGCACTAGATTTTCACTGGAAATATTTGATAGGTATTTAGACTTCATAAAATTTACAAATGATAGAATAGCTTCACACACCCAAGGAGCTCTAAGACTACTTAATTTCCAATAAGTGGTCAGTCTGTAAATTTAAATTAATTCTAATTATTAAATTAAAAATTTGATTCCTCAGACATGCTACTCACATTTCAGTGCTCAGTAGCTGCATGTGACTATCATATTGAGCAGTACAGGCCTAAAGAATAGCAAAGGTACTTTGGCTACCAGTACTTCCACTATGAGCATTTTATATCTACCTAACATTGAAGATTTCTAAGCAATAACTTGGCAGGTATTAACTAAGAAAATAGTCTTGGTCACATCATCACTACTGTAGCTTACTTTTTTTTTTTTTAGCAACATATTGACAAAATGAAGCTTCTAATGACTCCACAGAATTACTTTGTGGTACCTGACACACGGAATGCACTCAAAAATATCTGTGGAATGAATATTCTCCATTACTTAAGGAATAATTCACATRTCTGTGGCCTACTTATGCCCTCCTTGTTACTTTCTATTTTCCTAAGGATCAACCATTTCTATTATTTGTATTCTACATATGATGAAAAAGAAATCAATAAGAAAATATATTTATAAATGTGTATTAGAAGCATTATAGTATAATGGTTAACAGTTAAAGAGTTTAAGCTCTGCAATCAGACTGCCCAGATTCAAATCCTCATTTTATCATTTATTAGACAGATGTATGATCTTGGGTATATACTTGGCCTGTGACTTAATTCCTTATTCTGCAAAACAATGATGACAATACTGATGACAGTATCTATGTACTATCTTGGGTCTCCTCATGGATTACAGGTGATAAAGCACTACAGCAGCTGTATGCTTTTCAGAGATGGTAGAGAAGTTGAAATTATAACTAAAGAAAAAAAATAGGGATCTCTCATTTTTTTATGTTTCCCACATTATCTTAAATTTAAAAAAAAAAAGTAGAGGTAGTAATTTGAAAGGAAAACCTTGCATGTAGTTATATTCACTAAAAAAGGAGCTAAATAGGAAATTTCATCTCCTGACCATGTACAATTATGCAGTATGGCACAGGTGCAATCAGGCAAATAGAAAAACAAGAACACGAAGCAAAAGAGGAAGGCGTTTATTGGCCTTACCTGCTTTTCCGTTTTCGGGGTGGTTTCTCCACTGTGCCAGTCAGTCTACAGACCAAACAAATAAGACGGTAACTAAAAGTTAACATACAACATATTGCCAGGCTCTACTGTGCCAGTCAATAACTCAATGACCACCCTCTGGGACCTTAGGCTCGCCATGCCCATACCTGTCCTTACAAACACCTAAGCCTCGTTTCCCCTATTTACCAACACCAAGCAATCCCGGGACTCGCTGTTCCCCCAATAACCCCCATAGCCCAAGCCCTGCTCTGCCTCCTGATCCCTCAGCCCATCCTCAGTCTCATTCGTCACAATCTGGCTCCCCAAAACCACCCACCTTCACCTACCTACTCATTGTCTGCCTAGTCAACCCCGCAAGCCCCCTCCCATCCTTCCCTTCCCCGTGCCCACCCCCTCCCGGCTGCGCTCGGACCCTCAGAGCCCCGCCCCTCCAGGCCGAGCGCCCCCCGCATTCCACCGCCCCTCGGTGGGGCGCGCGCCCTGCTCCTCGCGGCCCAGCGCCCCCAGCCTCGGCGCCCCCTCCCCCTCACGTCGCTCTCACCCGCATGCAGCATGCGACCGCCACGGTCCCTGGGCGCCCCCCAGATGTCCCCAGCCTGCACCCCCGCCCCTCCAGCCTAGGCGCCCCCAAAGCTCGGCGGCCCCAGCCGCTGCCCCTGGGCCCGCTTCCTCGCCCCCGCCCCACCCCCGAGCCTGGCCTGCACCCAGCCCACGCCCCACCTGGGGGCCAGGCGACTCCGCGGCTGCTGGGGCTGCCGGGCTCCTCTGACCATCCGGCTCCTGCTCCGCCGCGGGAGCTGCTCCGGCGGCCGCAGGGCTCGCTCGGGAAGCTGAGGCGGCGGAGGATGGAGTAGGCGGAGAGGCGGGAGGAGGGCCTCGCGCCTCTGCCAGGCTTGCCGCGGGGCCCGCCTCCCCGACGCGTCTCTTCGGATGCCATTGGCTGCATCCGCAGTGTGGCCGAAAGCCTGGCCGTCGATTGGGCGTTCGGGCCGTCAAATCCCGCGCTGCCCACCCAGAGGTTTGGTTGAGACTGCAGGTGGCGGCGGAGGTGCCTTAGAGACTTCTGGCAGGGCCAGAGGAGACCTAAGCGCCACCGTGCGCCGGGACATGGAAACTGCATCTCAGGCGCCAGACACCTGCCCGCAGGTTCTCTTGGCTCCGCATCTGACACTCCAGACACCTGCTGGCATCCACCCGCACCCCACCCCATCCCGCATCCCCCCCAGCTCCGGAACCAAAAGTCAAGGGCTATAATTTCTCCAAATACCTCCCTCAAGTGCGACAGAGACGCAACTCTCCCAAATGAGCATCCTTTTGAACCACCTCGAATGCAGTCCCTGTCTACATCTTGTGGAAATGGTCTCAGCTCCGTGCTATCCCTCATAGAGGATCTAATCACAAAATTTTAAGAATCCACCAAAACACAGCATGATTTGCCTGCTCAGTCCTCTTCAGGAAAGATCACAAGGTTGGGTGCAGACTCTTAAGAAAGGAATTGTTGTTTTTTTAATTACCGTCAAAGAAAAATCAATCCTGCAAACGGAATCAATGCCATAACTAAAAGGAATGTGTTCCATTTTGAAAGGCCTAAACAAAATTGATTCCCGAGTGTGAACTAGCCATTCTGTGATACTGTAGATGATTAAGTTCTACACCAGTTAATCAATTTTAAAATAAATTTTACTGCATTTTTTTTTTTTACCTAAGCATGCAAAACTACCAACAAGTAAGCCCGATAAATATTACCTTTCCTCTTCTACTGACAAGGCCATCCTCGAAAATAAGGCACACCTCACTAATATAAAATTCTTTAAGGTAAGTCCCTTCTACATCTCTATTGCTGTGTACAGCTGTTGTTTGTGCATCTTATCTGTTTGGGGTTGGGAAGAGGCATAAAACTTTCTCTTAAGCTCCTTCTATTTTATTTATGATCAATAACATGGCAGCCTGTAACCGCACAATGAGTGATGGACAAATTTCTCTCTGYTATTCCTAAATGGGAAGAATTAGGATACTAGTTTTTCACAAAACCAAAATGTATTTGGTGTAAATGAATGTTTTTTATTTTCTTTATGTGTATATATTTTTCAGTTGTCAATGGACCTTTATTTTATTTATATGCAGTGCTGAGAATCGAACCCAGTGCCTCATATATGCTAGGCAAGCACTCTACTACTGAGAACAACTCCAGCCTGTGTTCTTTATTTTTAGATTTTTTTTCTTTTACACCCTTGATGTTAAAATTGCCTTTTATTTATTTATTTTATGAAGTAACAGTGATAGTAAACTGTACTGGTTATTTTTTATTTTGGGGATTGAACCCAGGGCCTCGCATGATAGACAAGCGCTCTACATCTGAGCTACCTACACTCCCATACCTCTTGTGGAATTTTGAAAATGGATTTGACTGGGGAAAAAAAAAGTTATTAAAACCCTAATGTTCCCCCACATATTTTATGTAATTCCAAAGTCACAGAACTACAAATCACCTCAATCCTGTTCCACCCATATTATAAATCCAGAAAGGTGCCAGGCATGGTGGCACACAACTATAATCCCAGCAACTCAGGAGACTGAGGCAGGAGGATGCCAAGTTTGAGCCCAGCCTTGGCAATTCAGTGAGACCCTGTCTCAAAATGAAAAATAAAAAGGGCTGGGGATACTGCTCAGTGGTTAAGCACCCCTGGATTCAATCCCTAGTACCAAAAAATAAACTTAAAAATTTTAAATAGAGAAAGTGGTAATAATTCCAAAATAATTTCAGTCAAGAAGGGAGGAGGGATTAAAGGGGGTCCTGATGAGGATCATCAACTCACTAGGGAAATAATATTGAAATGTCACTATTCAGTTTCTTGCATGCTAAGCAAGTACTCTACCACTGAGCCACAACCCCTGCCCTCACTATTCTGTTTCTTATAAAAATATTGACTAAGGGGCTGGGTTTGTGGCTCAGTGGTAGAGAGCTTGCCTAGCATGTGTGAGGCACTAGTTGGATTCTCAGCGCCACATATAAAAAATAAAAAACTTGTATATATAAATRGTGACTAAAATCCTCTGCCTACTTTTCTTCCGTGATTAGCCAGTCTTCCATGATTGGCCAGCCCTCTCTGATAAGTAATAGACAGTGTCAACAGAACTGCAGCTCTTCTTATACCTTCCCAAGTACCCTCAAGTCTTACCTTCATGTTGTGCCCAAGTTCTGGCAATCTCTACTTCAGTCCTTTTACATTGTAAAACATGTATATCCCACCATTCCAGTCAACATTTCACACTTCCTTTTTTTAAATATTCCTCTAATCACTCCATCCTATAGCAAACATTTCCTTCTCCAAATTGGTTTTACTTACAAAGCTCTGCTGTTAGCCATTGTTTCATATCTCCGAAACCACACTGATTTGGGGCAAGGTGTGATTCCTCAATAAACTGGCATCTTTAGGGCCAAGTTCTGAGCCTAGGTTACTTTAACACTGATCTACATCCTATCCTTTTTTGAGATAGGGTCTCACTAAATTGCTGAGGCTAGCCTCAAACTGTCGATCCTYCTACCTCAGCCTCCTGAGTTGCTGGGATTATAGGAGTATGCCACTATGCCCAGCTACTGTGCTATTTTTAATACTGAGATCAACCTTGTATGGTACTCTCCTATTTTAGACACAGAAATTTAAGATTCAGAGAATCCAATTTGCTCAGGGTCACATAGCTACAAAAACCAATACTGCTTAAAATAGAAGGCTTACGATGTATTCTGGTGTGCCCTACAGGCATTCAAGTTCCAGCTCTCCTGTGCAACCTTAGACAAGTTTCCCGTCCTCTCTAAGCCTATTTCCTTGTCTGGTGAAAACAAAAGAGAGGTAACATAGTGACAGACCCCATAGTAAGGGTACCATAAAATAGGGCATCTACAGCATTTAGCTAAGTGTGCACAATACAGGTATCTTTTATACCATTCCCATTTATATATAAAAATCAGAGTGCTGAGGACCATAGTGGGTACCCAGGTATTTATACTATGTAAGAAATACTTTTGTTGACACACACAAATCTGCTATAAATTTTTCGAGCATTTTTGAATCAAGAAAACATTTGAATGATCTAAGTCAACATGAAAGCTTTCTTCTCATGCAGGGAAGAAAGGATCTAAGTCAACATGAAAGCTTTCTTCTCATGCAGGGAAGAAAGGTATACATTCATCAACTGATTAACAAAGAAACATAAAATTAAAAAATGGGGAATAAGGAACCAACCTTCCTGAAGCATCTAGTATGTTTAGCATCATGCTAGGGGAATTTCCAAGCTTCTCTTTTGGTTCTTTTCTACTTCTGTGTATTTCCTTAGCAAACACACAATTGAAAGAGTTGTGATGATCTCATGAAGCATGCTTCTGGGCACTGCATCCAGGTTGTAACAATGAATATATTTCCATGGAACAGAACACAGCCCAGAACCAACTGCAGAATAACAATTTCACTTCTGTTTATCAGTCAAGCAACCAAGTGAAGGAGTAAGCCTTTTTAATTTAAATTATGTTATATAAAACACTAACTTTCTGTCAGGATATACTACAGACTATGCATTAGATAAAATTATTTTTTGACAAACTTCCTATAATCCTTTTATTAATTTACACTGAGGGAATACAGCACCTTTCACCCAAAGAACTGAAAGTGCTTTACAAATATTAGCATTTAAAAAACAATTACATTTAAAAATCTGGATTCTTGCTGTTAAATCTCTTCGACTTGATACATAATTATCTGAATGCTGATGGAAAGTCATTCTGACAATGACAGAGGCTCAGAAAGAGTCCTGATTTTCTTTCACATTATCAGCATTTTCCAAAACCTGTTCTGGGCTGAGAACACAAAAACACACAAATCTTAATGCAATAAACAATATCTTGAACCCTATTTCAAAAGTAAAACTCAGCTTTTAAAGAAGTCAAATCTTCCAATAGTTCTAGACATCTAGATGGAATAGAAGCTGATGCCGGGGGTACACTAGATGAACTCTTGATTCAGGCATTTTAGGATCACACCCAAAGGAACACAAAGTAGTGAGATTTTCCAGTAAAACACTGACCTAAAAAGCTAGCCAAGGGCATGTTGGTCAATTGAGGAAAGGGAGTAGATGGCAATTCAAAGTCAACAGTTCTCACTAGAGCCTAGGACACTTTATTAGAAACCAAGTATATATATATCATAAGCAAATAAAAAATAATTCTTACCCCCATTAATACAACATAAGGGATTTTACATTCAGCCTAGATACAGGGAGTAACAGATCCTTTTGCCTACAAAACTATGACTTGCAGTATCTTCCACCACATGATTAACTCTATATAATACATAGCCCTTATTTATTAGAGGGATCCAAATATTCCTTTTAGGCTTACAAAGTCTAATACATTCACTCTCTCTTCCCTTTACAAGTCTAATAGTAAAAACTATTCTTTTTTCCATGCAAAAAGCCATTATTCAGTTGAAATCAGGCAAAACAGAGATGGCAGTTAAGGAATGGACAGAATATTATTGGCACATGCCCAGCTAGTGACAGACAAATGCAGTACACCATGACTTAAAAATAAAAGTCACATTACAGGGAGAATGAAAACTACTACATCAGTCTAAACTAAGGAGTCTCAAATGGAAAGGTAGGTCTGAGGGTTACCAGTTTTATTGGTACAAATTAAAAGCAGTGGAGGGCAAGCACTTAAATACAATATATGGTAACAAGAAAAAATACTGCAGAAAGCTGTTCAAAGACCACACCAAGTTGTCTGCATCATTAATTCCAGTGTTTCACAATTAGTAAAATACATAGCTACATATCCCTGTAAGATAAAAACACC